ATTGGTAAATACCATACTGCCGGCCCCGTGCTCCAGGTAAGACACGATGGCACGTCGATGCTTGCCCACCATATACGCCGAGTATTCTGCTCATTTTCACGAAAACTGTTTGTAACCCCTACCCTTGTACCTCAAACTCGGAAACTCCGTTATTCGTATCAATCAATAGCAAAATACATCGAAATAAATCGAAATAAAAGATACGGTTCATCCCTGTCACGTTGAATATAAAAGCTGTCCGTTATTTCGATACGTAAACGAGCTAGATACTTCTTTCATGCAAGAATTAGATTGGCTATGTCGTCTAAATGATGAAACTCACGAAAGTGGTAAGAAGAAGCTTTCGTTTCCAAAGCCCGGGGATCCTTTTTGTTTCCACGATCGTCTATCTAGCAGACGTATCCCATTGTTTCAGTAGAACGCTTTCGACAGTGTTATTTTTCACATAGCTGGAGGAAAAAAGTTTGATCGTTCCTACTGGGTAAATAAATCGTCTGCGGAAGTGCTTCGGCCATCGACCAAGTTTCTTCTTCCCTAATCCACCTGTTTTTCGATCCAGCAGTTTCCCCGCTCTTCGTCGATAACAGATTAATACGAACGTCGATCGTGGCCTACGACTACTAATGATTCTCCATAGATATCGCATAGGGTATTTAAGGACATATTTATCAAATGGAGAAATTAATTAGCTTCAACCTTTCACGTATCTATTTTGAAAATTAAGTTGAAAGTGTAACTGTTATGTAAAATGACATATAAATAAATCTTTATAAAAATTGTTATCTAAATTCAATTGTACAAAAATTGATATTTACGTGACATTTTACAATCTTGCAATTGTATAAAGATTGTTTAACAATTTTATGACAGTAATAATACGTTATAATAGCACAATTTTTATAATATTTCTTTGAAAAATTGAAGTTATAAAAAAGCTATGGTAATGAATTTATTTATTAAGTTCAATTTTGAATCATTCGAAATGAATTATGCCACTTTAAGCTGTATATGTATCTCGTTGAATAAATAATCAAAATCAAACGTGTATGTTGAATGTGTATTTTTAAATTGAATAATTTCGTTTACACATACTTAAATTTATTACTGCCTGTGTTCTTATAAAATTAAAGCATATTCAATTCGTATCGCATCGTAAAAATCGATGTATCCTTTTATTCGTTCTTTCTGATAGTGAATATTTATTTATTCAAATATTCAATGTGGTTCGTTTCACCATGGTCGTTGAACCTCCACGTTGCTCGACTTCGACCAAGTGAACCGATTTTTATTATTTTTACTATGGAATTTTTGCTCGTCACCTTGTTCTCGTCGATTGGTCGACGATTGATTTAACGAAACGGGTGAATAAATTTACATTGATTCGCAATGTGATCTAGAATTTGAGAAAAAAAAAGAATCACTAATAATTCTTTGAATATTTTCGCAATATTCAAAATAATCAAAATACACGATGATTTATTTCTTTTTTCTTTTTTTTTTCAATATCTTCCTCTTTGAGAAAATGAGTTTCGAATTTCACCAAAAATTTATTAATTCATATCTTCCTTATTGGATATTGTTTAACTGTTTTGGTAGTATACGCAATGAAATTAAATATAACTACTATGCGTGGCTGAAAAGAAATCATCTCGTTTGGTTGCGTGGCAAGAGGGGTATTCCACTAGTACCGCCTATACTCTCGTTAGTAATACCCATTCTTCTATAACACTCCCAAAACTACTGCCTCCAAGTTCGGTAACGCGATACGTTAACATAGGCGTAAGATATCCGCGAAAAAAACGTTATCTCAGAGTTAACTTACAATGAATTGGAAGCACTACTACGCCAGGCAATAAACGAAACGACACCAAATGATTGGAAAGGACTTTGTAAACACGTAGAAACACTGGAACACGAATATTGGACGAAAGATGGAATAATAGAGGACGCAAATGAAGACCTAGAATTGGAAATACAAAGCAGCGAATCGGATAAGGAATTAGATGACAATAGCTCAAAGATTTATAAAGTAAAGAAGTACGAAAGTAATAATTGTGTTCATCGGAAGAATCTGAAGTTAATATGCTTTTGGGATGAGTCTACGCTCTTGCATCTATTTGTTGCGTCTGTCTCACTTTGTCTCGTTGCTTTGTTCGCTTTCTTTGTCACATGGTGTTCTATGACCGGGCTAATAGGAAGGGACCAGTTCTACCAATAAGGGAAGCGTTTTACTCTACTTCTGCCATGATGTTAGAATGGTTGAACTGGTGAAGATTCGGTCCTACAAGTTTCTCAGACGACTTCTTTCCAGCAACGCAGAGTACATATTTTTTCATTGTAAAATATAAAATAATGTAAAGAATAAAAATGGTATAGAATATTATAAGAATATAAAATATTATATAATATATATTATAGAATATAGAATATTATTTTAATATGTTAATATTGTAACGACCAAGTTCTCACCCTCGCCAATAGATGGATTCCTACTTGAAGGAGGTTCGAGGATCGTATCGCGTCCACTTCACGAGTGAATTCTATGGGATTCGACGAGTTGTGTTGCGGCCCTACTACCGCAATGTCCCAAGTCAAGTGGAGGACTGTTTTATGTCCTTATTGCCAGCGTCCCTTGTTGCATCGTCACTAATTAGCATTCCAGTCGTGTCGGTTCGCGGCAGCAAACCGGGGCGTTATCGGTAAGCACGGGCGCCTCACGTGAAACGCGATAACAATTATATTATTGTGGGCAACTTTCACCGCTGCCCATTGTCTTCCGGCGGGAGAAAGCTCTTCGTTGGAGCTCTAGGAAGGCCTCGCTGAGGCCCAAGGACAACAGACACAGATAGGGATGCTGGACGCCAAGCTGGGGCGTCTTGACCAGAGCTCAGCAGAAGAGGCTACGGACACGTGGAGACAAGGCGACGGAGAGGGGACACACTCAATAAAACAGCGAGGGATGCATTTTTGGGGCACTTTCCGACCAGTGTACGGAGAGAATAAAAGGGTATAAGTAGTCGCCTAGGAGCTGAGCGACTATTTATTAAAATCCTTCCTACATTATATATTATATATTATATTATGTTAATTATTATTACTTTTGTACTTCTTTACTTTATAAATCTTTGAGCTATTGTCGTCTGATTCCTTATCCGATTCACTGCTTTGTATTTCCAATTCTAGGTCCTCAGTTGCGTCCTCTATTATTTCATCTTTCGTCCAATATTCGTGTTCCAGTGTTTCTACGTGTTTACAAAATCCTTTCCAATCATTTGGTGTCGTTTCGTTTATTGCCTGGTGTAGTAGTGCTTCCAATTCATTGTAAGTTAACTCTGAGATAACGTTTCTTTCGCGGATATCTTACGCCTATGTTAACGTATCGCGTTAGCGAACTTGGAGATAGTAGTTTTGGGAGTGTCATAGAAGAGTGGGTATTACTAACGAGAGTATAGGCGGTACTAGTGGAATACCCCTCTTGCCACGCAACCGAATGAGATGACTTCTTTTCAGCTACGCATAGTAGTGCTCACTCGCTACTGCCTGAGTGGAAAGTATAGCAAAATCGGCGCCGCACTCAACGTGTTAATATATGAATTTCGACTGCAATAATATGAAAATTAATACACTCTCGTATACATAATTGGTTAGATCTATCTATTTTTATTATCATTTTAAACAATTTACAAATACTATCATCACTCCATTATTCTTAAGAGAACAATAAATTTCGTCTCGATTGTCATTTAATTATAAGTCGAAATTAAAATGGTAGTATGTTATTCAGAATAAAAGTGTTTTCACATAAGTTGGTTATTCGTTCAATAAAACATAGTTAATATGTTTATTTATATATTTGTCATAAACATGATTATTTTTTTGAAATTTTTTAGTAATTTTCAACGTTTCTTTAGATATAGCTGTTGACATCCTTTCATAGCAATTACTTTTACAACACGTTTGAAATGGTGTATCATGTTAAAACGTAATCCTGAATATTATTGCATTCTAGATCATTAATGTTATCCCAAAAATCAATATTTCGATAATATAATTACATATTATAACATAAAATATTTATAATACGATAAAAATAAATTATAGCTTTCAATAAAGAAACGCTATAATTTCTATATTTAAATATACATAATATTTATGTACTTATGGTGTAATATTTGAAACATTGATAACAAATTATAATATTTTCACTGCGTAAAGGATGTCGTAAGTCTTAAAAATCTATTCAGATTATGGTATTGCATCCAACAATTCTTGTCACAGACAAATGTTCATGAGAAACACTTCATAATTGGTTCGAATCTCCTCAGTGTTAGCAATAACTCGGCAACAGTCTTCTGCGAGTTTCATTCATTTTTTAATGGAAATCACAGCTTACGATCTTTACATTACCAATGAATTAACATTCTTAACTTTCAAATACAGTCTTTTCGAGGATTTTTCTCGAACGCAAACTACTCTTTTGAAATTCGAATGAATAACAGCTCACTTTCCAATTTTTACCAATACGAGTGGAGTGTTCGATGTCATTCTCTTCTTCAAATATTCATTTTCCTGTAGATTCATTATCAGTACTTCTCTAACCCAGTGAATCATTTTTGAAAAATCAAATCCATAATAATTCTTAATCACAGTTCTTCCTTTCAAACCTTGATTTCTTCTCCCCTAGTGCTATCCATCTCTTCACAAATTTTCTTCTGGATGGATTCAGTCAGATCTCCAGTAGCCTTATTCTACCTTCTAGTTAACAATCTAAGATCTGTTTAAATCTCTTCGTGCAAGCTGCAACCAGTTCAAAAAATTCGAATATCTTAATAATACAAACCAGAGTAGCAGTCTTAACAACAAAAAGATAATAAATATCAATAAAGATCCTCGTGTATTCTAATTCTCTTTAGTACTAACTGGACTAGACACAACCGATAACTGAATACAATATTTTTTTTTCAAGCAACGTTCTACTATACCCTAATAAATACTCTTGCGTGATATCTTCCCTTTGCACCTGTCTAATACCATAAATCTCTCTAATGTATAATTCAATAGATAATTGCTATCGTCGAGTCAACATTCACCGCAGCGAGAAATCCAATGTAGAAAATCAATAACCAATTAGTTATCCTTGAGTGTTGTGCTGAGCATCATTTATTAAACTGTTCCTACGTGTAGAATAACTTTATTAGTTATTTTACTAGTTGCATTCGAAGAAACGTAATAACATATTGGCTCGCAGTATCCTGTTTATATTGATCTACCTCTTTCTACCGGTTAAATTCTACCTTGTTCAATTCATCATACGAACAGTTGCTTGAAATTATGTTGAAACAAATGACACCGGAGAAGGCCGTCCAATTCACAAAGTTCAGTATGATTTTGACCTTCTGCTGGCCACCTTCCATCCACAGCAGCAGAACCAAAGTGCTCGTCTTCAAAGTCATACAGATCATGAGTATCATTCATGGTTTCATACAGATATTGGCATTTTTGCACACGATTTATTACCACTTGGGCAACATCCTCCTTGTTTCAAAATCCTTCTGCCTATTGCTAGCCGCGACCGAATGCATAGTTCAGACTCTCGTATGCTTCGTTAACCACAACTCCCTACAAGTAAGTTTCTGTTAAGTTTCTTCTCAATGGTTCGACTTATGGAAATACATACTTTACTCTAATCGCTTGTTATAGCGTATAATCGAAGAGATAATGATCTGTCTCGAAGAAGCGAACCAGAGCGAAAGGGAAATTTTCGACAAGTATACCGCGAAATGTTCCCCCTTTTACGGAGGATCCATAGTACTTATATACGGAACAGCCACTTTGTTTTTGTTAGGACCTATATTCATGCCGATTAACTTCCCATTAGATATAGAATATCCATTTGAAATTGATTACGCACCTGTTAATGTTATCATATACACTCATCAGGCACTTACAGTCTACCATTTCGGTGCACATACAGCCCTAGGCATATTTGGAGCCCTTTTAATCTGGTTCTCGGCAGCGAGGTTCGAATGCCTGGCGACGGAATTCAAGGAATGCTTGAATGTTCATACGATGATCGTTTGTATCAAGAAACAATTATATATAAGAAGGTGACACGAATAGGTTCACGAATAGATGAATCAAACTTAAATTCATCACGAGTATTCTCTTCTTCCAGATACGCTGAAGAGGTGAACAAGTGTTTCCGTTACATCGTACTCTATGCTATAATAATAAGCATGATAGCTACGACTATATGTGGGATTATAATAGTAACGGTGAGTGACGCTTATGCTATCTTGTACCCACCATAATGAATCGAAGATGCAATTTGTAAACAGAAGTTACCACTGATCGTGGAAATACAGTTCATAACCGTCACCTTCTCTACACTGATAGCGATTTTCATGTATGCATGGCCAGCTGATTATATGATAGACATGGTAGGCCGCGACCCATCGCTTACAATTTCTCAGTTACATTTTCTTGAATAAGAAGAGTTTTTCATGAGTTGTAGAGCATAAACATGTCACGAAGTATATACGAGTCAATATGGTACGAGCAAACGTTATTAGCGCAAAAGTATATACTGAATGTACTGGTATATCAAGAACCAGTGATTCTCTCCGTCAGTTCCATAATGCCACAGCTTTCTTTACCTTATTATTCCAAGGTAGGCAAGTCATCGTTTACCTGTAAATCATGATAAATGGATTAATTATAACAGGAACAACTAATTGATTATGTTTCAGTACCTGATCAATGCCTTCTCCATCTTTACCACCTTGCGTGCTATAATAGTCGATGGTTGAATATAAATGTATGTTAATGATTATAAACACATAGAGTATCAGTGTTGTTGTGTTAGTGAAATCAACCAAACTTGTACCAAGCTTAAATTTTTTTACGGTATATATGTACACTTGCGATCGTAATAGCTGTAGTAATCGTAACTGTTTGTTGCACCAAAACTGAAAAATCGTTAGCATTCATTTTATCAATGATACTTTTGTAAGTAACTTGCAACCATGTTCTTATTGACTATATTTTTACTTCATCCATAGTCTACATGGTATCATACAGATTTAATGGATTTTTACGTTGTATCTTGTTCCATCTGTTTTCCATACTTCGATATTTCCTTAATCTTCGTCCAATTATATTCCTAACCTCAAATATTCATTTAGGTCTGGACTTCTTTCAGTCTAAATCTTAACTTCACTCTTCAGTGCTTTTTCTAGTCTTTTTTCAGATTTTTCTGATTACTCGTGCGATTTTCTCATCTATATAAACTTCTTTCTTATTCCTTTTCCTTGTTTTTAAAGATTAGCATCTTTTTCTTAGATAGTGGTATGCGAGTACCCGAGATTTCGGGTTTGGGATGGGACTCAAAAGATTCGGCGAGATCTGGACAGTCTCCTATTACTCGGGATCCCGAATGTTTCATCTTATGACTCATAAACACGATTGGATAGTGGGAGTATATGAAACCACTCCGACTCCAGCTGTTAAGAGAGGATGGAAAAATAATGATAACACTTAGATAAATAAGTATATTTAAAACGAGGAAAGAAGATTACTTCGATATTATTTTTAAATATTAACACCAAACATGTTTATGATTTCTGAATGTAATTGTATAAAAATATTATATAAAAATCATAATTCTTCGACATTTCTATATGTACTTTTTGAATATTTGAAACTTATACAATACATATTCCTTTAATGTGTTTACAGTATACTTTTCATTTTATAATAATCTACTCTATACTATGTACTCTATAGCCAGACTAGAAATATTTTGGGTAAATATGCAGTTTAGCATATAACAAATCTCTCGCTCAACGGTAACGGGGTCTCTCGAGACCCCACACCGATATTCCACTAATGCTCATGATGATGATATTCCATAACTCAAAAAGTAGTTCGTATATTACTTTTAAGACTTCAGATTACTATTTATGATGACAAAAAAAAGTCAATTTTTTCAAAATTTCAAACTATTCTGCTCCTTTAAGAACTACCTACAACAAAAACAGTATCATTATAGAGGAAAAGAAAACAATGAAGTTGACTTATGAAGTTGATTTAATTGTAAGTAAAAATAAAGAGGCACTTCTAATCCAAGAAGAGGAAATTATGAAGTGGCACTGCAGATTGGGTCATCTAAATTTCAAAAATATGAAAAGTTGCCCAATCTGTATGAAGGAATACATCAATCACTATCAAAAATCAAAGGTCAGTTCTGTGAGTCCTGTGTTATCTCAAAGAAAACAAGATATCCTTTTGATATTTGAAAAGAAGTATTAATTAACCAAGGCAGACACTATTACCTCCTTATTCATCACAGACATTGCAAGTCTGACTATGAAAAGAGATTGCCCTCAAAAAAATTACTCTGGAAAATTATTTAAAACATTATATAAAGTTACAAGATCCTGATGATCATGATCTGCAATAAATTTCAAGTCAGCTTGTAGTAAATTAAGATAAACGCATTTGAAGTAGGTGAGAGAGTTCGTGGATCAAATTAGCAAGAAATTTCATGGCACTGTCTTTAAATACAATCTCCAATGGAACAGTAATATTATCTGAAAATCACATATCAATAGGACAGGACCATAATGCTACAGATGAAATACTAACTAATAAAATACCTAGCACCTTCTGCGTTTGAGACTATGGGTAAATATGACAAAATATTAATTTGCTTTTTAAATAGCTTATTTTAATTATAAAAAATATAAAAATTGAAGACTAAAACGAAATGGAAACAGAAAAAATTACAAGAAAACATTCTCAGTAATTCAGAATAAAGTAATGTTTATTCTTTCTTTGATTAAGGAGATTTTGGTGTATAATTATTTAAATTAGTCATGTAAAAATGAGTTGGATCAATTGTGCATATCCTGGGAAAAATTTCATAGTTTGAAAGCTGTTTAAGCTGTTTAATATTAGTTTTGTCATCAAAATATTATAGGATTAAAATGTTAACACTGAACCCACTCATCAAATTATATTAACATATCAACAGAAAAGATGTGCCAAACTGTCTACCAACCATTGGGATAGAGGAGTGTAGTATCAACGCATGGAATATTTTTGGTGTAAATTTGATGTCAAAGTATTGGGTACAAGATTTGATACCAAAATCAATCTACAATGGTGACACAAACCTATATCGTTATTTAACCATGTCTTGTAGAAATTTGGTACTAAATTGGAGCCATAGTAACCAAATAGATTACTGAATTGTTTTTATAATTCTTCCTACAGACACTTAATCTTCCTATGACAAAAATTGATGTTCTTCTTCTTGGCTATTACGTTTAACCAAGCATTAATTTGTTCATACACATCTTCTGATTACCAATGTTATCAAAGCTTGAATCATTTGTGAGTATTACAGAAATTTCTTATATGGAAGTCGGCTTCATAGACGTTTGTATCACTTCTCACTCGTAACCACCCTAAAAATAACATAGAAAATTGATAAAAATTAATATTTGCAAATATGAAATTTAATTAAAAATATTGATTAAATATAAAATTTGTATTAAAACATATTTAATCAATTAATATTAATACCTCTTGCACAAATATATGTTTCATATCTCTCATACCATACGACAAAAAATTCGAGCAAGCCATGAAGTAAATACAAAGCTATGTATTACATTATTAAATTATGATTATATAATTATTAAATCTCACTAATAACAGTAATTATTAAAATTTATTTAAAACTTATTACATATAAATATAATTTATAATATAAAATATCTACATAAATAATATATAATGTAAAATATTTAAAACTTATTACACATAACATAAAATTTTAAGCTTACTTTATTTTCATTATTTTTATTGTTTTAGTTGCATTGGAATAAAAAAGAATTATTAGATAAATATTGGATAATTTTTTAAATTTGATTTTTTACAATAGGTCATAGCATTTAAATTTATTATGTATTATCAACATAAAGTCACCCATTCTTAATAATGATAAATTAAAGTTCTAATTCAGACAGTTCAATGATCATATCTAATACGTCATTCGGCGCTATCATCAGCTTATATTTCTTTAAATGTAATCAAAAAAACACAACTTAAAAATAAAACCCCTTTTTTTTTACTAACAAAAGGACTCAATTTCTTTATATTATACAAATACATAAATCAAAATTATATATTAAATCAAGATATATTAATTCTTTATAATAGAAAAAAAGTAAAAAAAAAAAGTTTCATTATG